GAACGCGTTCCAGTCGACGAGCGCGCTGTCGCTGCCGACCTCGATTCGCATCTTGTACACACCCGCTCCTATGCTTTGTTGCACCATTATTCATCCTTCGACTGTAGGGATTTGAGCGACAACAACGTGAGCTACCTTGATGCGACCACATGGGACTGGCAGCGGTATCCGTTCCTCTCCACATTGTACAGAGATTGTTGTTGGCTTGGTTGAACTCAATTTTGCGGGGGCATAGACTACTGCGAAGCAACAACCTCACGCGGCTCGAGTGCAACAAATTTCCAGCTTCGATTACCGAAATGTACGGGATTGCTGGACGATGGACATTGCGTTTATACATGCATGGATGTAGTGACCTCTCGGGCAACCCGCTGGTTTCGTTTACCATGGACCAAGCTACGTACTCTGAGCTTCTCGCCCGACCCGTCAGTATACGCGTCGACAACACGGCGGGCATTATCAAGAGCTGCCGTGGGAGTCCCCTTCCGCTCCACGGCACGGTCGTCTGCGTTGGCTCGCGGTCCACGACCAGCACGTCCCGCGCTTCCCAAGGTCCTTTTTTTTGAGTTTTCGGCATTTATTGACGCAGTGCGTAGGCTACGTGCTGCAGTATTTACTCATCATGCTCGCAGTGACCATTGCGCTCTTGGTGGTGGTGCAATATCGCAAGCGCCGTGCGCGCGCCGATGCCAACGACGACCCGGAGATGCTTCGCGCCACGTGCACGAGCTCCGTTTTGTACGAACACGACCCGCTCCAGCTCGTGACGCCATGGCTGCCGCATGACAAAGACGCTTGCGACGCCGACGGCCGGTCGCACGATGGGTCGCGCGTGTGATCTTCGTGTTCAATTAATTTATCGTAATAAAATGTAGTGATGACCATGAATCACACTATTTCGGTTGTTGAAGTTGATGCGGCTGACACACGCGCGTTGGAGCTCGGAATATACTTGCTCAAACCTTGACGTTTGTGTTTCTTCTGGTACGTACCGTGAAGCAGTAGCTCCCGAAGCGCCGTCGGTCTGCATTCTTGGCAGCGCTGCTTGATGGCGTGGACAGAAGTAGCTTGTTGTGGCGGGAAATGCCGTCGAATAAAAAATAAAATTCCCGACTCTGTTTTGCGTTCTGAGCACAGGCGACCTCTCTGCGTCTCTACGACTCCTTCCCATGACGGTCGGACTCGGAGGTGCACAAACCTCGGTTCTTTCTTGATCCGGTCGTGCGACGACCAGGAACATAGAATCCAATTCCTTGATATTTCGAGCAGCACCTAGGTGCCTGCACGAGGAATAAGCAACGCATCGCAGGCAGCCAGCGACGTCCGAAGACGACTACATACATGTAGTGCGCCAAGATGTCGCTTTGCCGCGAGCGGTGGTATGAGCAAGCCAGCACTGATATCGTAGTTCGAAGTGCAGAGGACATCGAATGGACCAATCCAATGACCCCAAAGTCGAAGTTAAAGTTCGATTATGAATTTTGGAACGCGGCCGTAGTTTCGTTCGCGGCTGCTGGGCGAGTGCCATGGTGCTAGCAAGGACGACCCGCCGACCGCTGCAGCTGTTGCTCTTCCTGCTTCTATGCACTACGCCGATGGTGCTTGGCATCGGCGCCACGCTGCTTCAGCTCTGTCCGTCTACCACGTCGATGCCGTCGGCGTGCGTGCGTCAAGGCGGCAATGGCAGCGTCAGTGTCATCGCCGCCAACGACTCGGGCGCCATCGACCTCTTCAACATGTCTATCACGACTGTCGAAGAGCTGCCCGTG